GGGGGGGGGGGGGGGCAGACGCACAATGTGTAGCCTGCATAACTTGTAAACTGCCCAGAGAGTGTGTGAAGCCCTATGGGACAGTATATAAGCAGCACGCTTTGCTTTCTTCTGGTAATGCCGCATACAGCTGGTATGGCTGTAAAAGAGAAAGAAAAAACCACAAAATGCATGAGCAGAGCTGATTATAAGGATGTTTACCACCCAAAGGTTAGAAATGTTACTTTTTAGAAGTACAGTAAGACTCCCTGATCCACAGGATCGATATTCACTTATCCATGGTCTAAAAGTCATAAAAATATTGAAAGAAAAATCCTAGAATAATACATACGTATATCTAAAGATATGGTTACCAGAACTGGCCACTAGAGGGAGCCAGAGGCCATATATAGTATTAGCTATTAAAATAGCATTTGCTATAATCCACATTTTCCAGCTTCGACAGGAGAGCTTGGAACCAATCCCCTATGGATATGGGGGGGTCCTATTATTTTGCTCACAGAAGCATTATAATGAGCCTGAACATTGTAATCCAAGAAAGGTAATATTTCCAGCAGTTCTCTTTTCACCCATACGGCCATGGCTGGAAATGTGGATGGGAAAAACTTGTAAAAACCTGCCCATGTTGCTGTAACATTGGTGTTGACCAGTGTCCCCCCTCCTGAGGACCTGAGGAGGCAGCCCTGGGCAATACCAGCATCTTGCTGCTCAGCTGCCTTAAAGGGTGTTCCGTAGGTAAGCTCAAGGAGAAGTGAATCCCAGAGCCTCTTTCATTCCAGGCAGAGATAGAAAAAACCTTGGTTAAGTAAGATACTCAAGTAGCTCATCAGGAGAGGGGATTTCTGCATGTGGTAAAGGTGAGACTGGGCCTGATGTTCGGCGCCACCCATTTGTGCGCCCTTGTTTTGCAGGCTGCGCCCAGCGGATTCCGAGCAACGGGTTCACATCTGGGAATCGTTTCAGAGTCTGCTGCAAACGTACAGTCAACTGCGGCAGAACGACCAGAGCTTTGCTGTAGAGGTAGCCCGGATGGGTTATTGGCATGGAGGTGGGGGCGTGTCTTTCTGCTGGGTGGCCAAGGAGGGAGGGTAGCAAGGCAGGGTTCAGGTGTGTTGCCCTGAAGGAGTGAGGTGGCTACAGAATGGGGTGGCATGGGATCCCATGGATTTTTAAACTGCTTGGCCTAGTCAGGCCTTGATGGGAGGGAGCATTATCTGAATTAGTTTGGTGCGACAGAGCTGTAAAGTGGCTTTCCCTCGTGAGCTGCTTCCTGGCCTGTGTTGAGGGACCGCAGATCCCAGTGCTAGAGGGAGGAGAAGGGTGGGCGCTGTAATGTCTGATCCTTTGCCCTGTCCTCTGCAGGCGGTGGAGCGGCTGATCCATCCGCAGCTGTGCGAACAGTGCATTGAGTTCTTGGAGCGCCAGGTGGTGCAGTACATCAATGGCCGTCCGGAGCGTGCTGGCCATGAAGTCGTGCATGCCTTCCTTCTTGTGCACACCAAGCTGCTTGCTTTTTACTCCAGGTAAAACCATGTCCGTGTCTTTTTCCCGGGCCTTAGGCTCTGCTCATGCCACTCTTTGCTTGATGTAACCCATCCTTTGATCTTCTCCAAGTCGGCTTCAGTGCCAGCTAGACTCCCCTTGGCCCATGATATCTTCCGCAGTTCAGGAGGCTCCAGTCCATGCCCTGCCATCTCCCAGGGGCTGCACTGCCACCAACATTCAGCAGCAGCAATCATCATCATTGTGTTGGGGGGCGCACAGCGGCATGCTCTTTTGAACCATACAGTCCTGCCAATCTTCAGGACAGAGAGATTCATTCCTTTCTAGATAAGAAGGAAAGATGGGCTCTTTTTTGATTCTTGTAATGACGCCAGGGGATGATACGTTAATCTTCAGGACAGAGAGACTCATTCCTTTCTAGATTAGAAGGAAAGATGGGCTCTTTCTTGTAATGACGCCAGGGGATGATACGTAAGATGCCCACCTTTCTTCGGTCTCTTAAGATGGTACCACTCCCCACTATCATAACAGATGGGACTCTCTAAAACTTCTGCAATTCCTGTTTTGTAGCCAGAATGCCAGCTCTCTGCGTCCTGCTGATTTGCTTACCTTGCTCTTGATTGTCCAGGATCTGTATCCCAGCACGGCCTCTGAGGAGAGGCCTCGCTCCCAGGTATCTATCCAGGTTCAGAAGAGACAGGTTTATGTCAAAGGCTCCATATTTCTGGGTCTCTCCTTCCCTCCCACTCACTGAGACCTTCTGTGCAATGGTCCTGAGCTGGACCCAGCTACAAGGAGGTGGATCTACCCTTGGGTTCAGGGATCTCTGAAGTACCTGGGAGAGAGAGGGAGAGAGAGAGAGAGAGACCCTGGACTGAGCCTTGCGAAGCCATGTCAGATTATTACTGGGGCCTGTGTGGTAGAGTGTCTTCTTTGTGAGTCAGTGTGGTACCATGGTTAGATTATGTTAGACAAGGACTTCACACCCTCATTGTGCAATCCAGCTCATGATGAGACCGTGGGCTGGTCTGACATAGCTTCACTTTAATCAGCCTCACAGGATAAAACAAGGAGAGAGCCTGTGGCCCTTGGCAAAAAGGTGGGATGAATATGTCACAACCACACATTCCTGTTCACAGGGCTGGTTTCAGGTCTGAGAGGGCTGTCAGACTACTTGTGGGCCCTTCCTAGATCAGTGGCTCCTGAAATGGTCTCTCTCTCTCTCTCTCTCTCTCTCTCTCTCTGTGTGTGTGTGTGTGTGTGTGTGTGTGAGAGAGAGAGAGAGAGAGAGAGCACACTCTAGTCGCCACCAGTGTGCTTTTGTACAGTGCACCAGAAAAGAGATGGGCACGAACTGTGCTTTGGTGGTTTGGTGTGGTGCCCACACAGGTGTTCTGCAGGCACTCTGTGCTTCCTCCCACCTTTGCCTCCTCCAGGCGATCGCCCTCTCGGAGGCAGAGCGCTGTGGGCTGCCCTCCCCTGCCCTGCCTCCCTCCTCTGAGTGGTTGGAGGAGGACAGCATGCTGCTGCCAGGGAGTAGGTGATCAACCACAGGCGGCGGGGAGGGGGAAGTGCGCAGCTCCCACAGAACCCTTGTGCGGGCACCATCCCGAACTGGCGAAGCACAGTTTGTGCTCATCTCTACTCCAGAATATCGCTGTAATCAAAATCACTGATCAGGATGGCAAATCAACTCTTGAAAGAGGAACGACAGATATCAGGAGTGGGTCTGGGCAGGTACCCAAGGATGCCTGGTGTTAACCCAAGTCTCTCTGTTCAGTTTGCAGAGGATGAGCCAAATCCTCCGAGGCCCCCAAGCAGTGAGAGTATCCCGGTGAACAGCCCTTCCTCTCACGAATCTTCTCAAGAGCAGGTAAGGAGTACAAGGTAGGGCTTTGGGCCTTGCCGTCCGGAGACCTAACAGGGCTCGGGGCCTGCGGTGCTTAGCTTTCACTTGCAAGGTGGGCTTTCAAAGGCTGAGAGGAGGGTGGGGCTGTTATATAGCTGTGGGGGATATGGAGAGCAAGATGGAGCCCATCTTTCTACTGGGGTTGAATCCCCTTGCTGAGTCCGTTCCCTTCCCCACTCCCTTCCACCCCCTCCCTCAGATAGCAGATGATCTGTCTCTACTTGAGGAGTTCTACACCCCCAAGGCTTCCCCCAGCCAACAGAGCACAGGTGAGTCGGGGGGGTGAGAGTGGAGGAGGCTGAGAAGAGGGTGAGGGGTTTGGAAGGAACCAGCTCTTGTTGGTCTAGAGAGGGTTGTTGTGATGGGGCTTGTAGTAACAGAGCAGGTGGTTCTAGCCCTGGGGCAGGCCGGTGACATGGGCTTGGGGGCCATTCTGAAGTGCTGCGTCTTGTCATCGCTGCTGATTTTAGAGCAGCACAACGTTGGGGGCACAGTGGTAAATGCAGTGTTTCTGCTTTAATGCTGCTCATCCATTTCAAACCAGGCTTTACAGATGGATTAACTTGCTGTATATATATTTTTTTGCAAGTAGATCAGCACTTCTGTGAAGGAGTGTGAATCTACAGGCAGGCCAGGGGAGTGTGTTGTACGTGGTGTATAAAGAAAGTGGGTTTAGAGCAAAAAATCCTGCTTTTCACTGCTGCAGTGATGGTGAACTGGAGGGAGGGAGGGAGGGAGGGAGGGAGGGCGAGAGAGTTGCCCATCCATGCCCTGTTGAGTGACCACTGCCTGGAAGCTGACTCCTTCCCTTTGGAAAAGAGCAGAGCTCCGTTGCTTCACTGACATTAAACTGGCCAGTGTCAGTGTGGCCAAAATGAAAAATAAAAAGATGTTACGCATTGGCAGGAGTCAGTGCAGGCAAGCACCTCAGCCGGTGGAAGGTGCCCTGCCGGGAGCTCAGCTGTGGTGCAGACCTCTTGTATTAGTTGCTGTCACTGTTTCCCCCTCTCTTCTCATTCCTGGTGCTGGGTATCTCTACTCTTTTCTCCCCCGGTCTTCCCTGAAGGAAGTGCTGCCTGGGCTGAGGGTGTGGACTCACAGGGTGAGGGTGAGGTGAATCCTGCTGATATCCAGGTAAGTGCCTGGCGGTTGAGGCTCCTCTTCCCCACCCCCACCCCGCCTGCTCCCCTCTTCTACACGCTCTTTCGGTCCCACCTGTTATGCACCCTTATCTTGCACTCAGGTCACGTTAGCAATAGGCAGTTGCCCTCCTTCCTGCTCTGTGAGGATAGCAGAGACTGGAAGAGTTACTTTTTGGGATGAAAGATCTCAGAATTCCCCAGCCAGCATGGAGAGGTGGTCGTGGCCAAGGAGTCCTGATACTGTAGTTCTAGTCCCAGTAATCTCTTGACAGAGCAGCAGCCTTGCAGTGGCCTTGTGCTTATGCAATGTTGCTCAATGAGCAAACAGTTGAATAATATTTTCTTGGTGAGATGTAGCGACCACGAAACCCCTGACAACAAGAGGTGGAATGAGATGAGATGCCATTCCTCAGAAGGCCAGATCAAGGCTTGCTGCAATAACTAAAGGCCCCTTCCAGCGTAGTAACTCTTCTCATTTTGCTTGATAAGAGCGTGCAGGACAATACGTTCACTCGAACCTAATTTTTCTCTTGCTTTTCCCTCGTTTCTCGTACGCTGCACATTTGGGCAGCTGCTGACACTGTTTTTCCAGAGCTATTAACATACCGTTTATGCATCATCTTAGTAGCCTTTGTAGCTTTGTTGAAGTGGCACATAAAGCCCACTGGAGCAGAGCACAGCCAAGTGAACCTCCCCTGTATTGTCTCTGCATGAATGACGTTGGAGCCTGAACAAGAGGAGAAGGAGCAGGCGAGAGAGGGTCTAGTGATTTTCCTCCCCTTGGTGGAAAATACTGGCACTGGGAAATACTCCTCGCTCCTCTCCAAAACCCGGCCAGAGAAATGGTGCTGGCACAACAGAGAGCAGCAAACAGTTGATACACGTACTGCTGGGAATCAGCCATGTGGAGCAACTGATTTTGGCTTCCCTTCAACCTGGACGTAAAAGCAACGAAGAAGGTTGATCTCAGGGGATGTAGGTCCTGTGCAGTTCTTTCCTTCAGCACTGTGGACAAACTCTCCCCTTGCTGCGAAAGGGATTGCAGCTGATATACTTACCTTGGGGGATGTATATCCTGCAAGAGAGGTTCCTGTCAGTCATCGAAGGATCCTTTAGGGAGACTGGCTCTTTACAGCTTAATAGAGGGTGAGCAACCTGTGATTCTCACCCTAACTTTAAAAGCAAATGCAGGCTGTCTGTTCAGATGTCTGTCAGGAATAGTCTGTCTCTCTGTTCTGCATCCGCCTGCTGGGTGAGGTGAAGCTGAGACATGCTGGCTCGGAACAAAGGACCATCCACACCAGCAGTCCGTTCTTCAAATGACTGAACAGATCCCTGTGAAAACTCATGTGCAGGGGGGCACAAGTGCACAACCACCCTTCTGCAGCAATGGTATACAGCAGTGTGTTGCACACCCTGTTGGCAGGGGTGTGGGGTGGGAGGGGAGTGAGGTATAGTTATCATGTTCACTAGCCATTCATAGCATTTTGCACTGTGAGGTTGTTGAAAATCAGAGGTGAGACAAGGGAATTTCAGAGAGAGGAAGAAAGATTGAAAAGGGGATGTTAGAAAGGGTTGGGGATGGCCTTTGTCCTGCCCATCACCAAGACTTGAGAAGTTATGCCCAAGGGAAGATGCTGATTCAGAAAAGGGGCTCCTCCCCCTTGGCTTAAATCTTACTGGCAGATGGGGTTGGCCTAGGTAGACGTGGTTCTTCTGAACCCCACCTTCACATACGTGTGTGACTTCCTCGCCCTACTTGTGTCTTTCAATTGCCAGCAGATGGAGCTGTTCCTTCATTTTTGTCATTAGGAGTGCCTTGGACCTGTGAGGGAAAGTTGCTTGTGTGGGGGTTTTTTTAATTGGAATAACGTGCATAAACTCTGAAAACTTGAGGACATTTCATCCAAATATATTCTGTGGTTGATCCTGCATCTCTCAATCTTTCTCTCTCCAGATGGCTGAAGATTCCCTGCAAGTTCTGGCGCCTGCCATGCCGGACGCTGCCAGTCCACGGAGAATTTTCCTGGACGCCAACCTGAAGGAAGGCTATTGTCCCATGATGCCCCACACGATGCACTGCCTCTCCCTCTGGCCAGGGATCTCTCTGGTGCTCCTCACAAAGGTCAGCAGTCTCCATTGAACCCCCATTTGATATCCACCGAGACTGGAACTTCCTGAATGTCCTCTTTGCTTCGTAGGGCCCCAGTTCCCATGTGGCACTTTCCCTCTACCAGCTGCTTGACGGACTCCTGGTGGCGGAGAAGAAACTGAAGGAAGGGCAGGAGCCCAGGCAGCTGCTGCGTAGCCAGCCTCTCTTGCTGGAGCTCCGACATCGAATGGACAAGTTTGTCAAGAAGCTGGGTGGGCAGGATTCGCAGGTGAGAAGGGGCCTTGGTGCCTGGGCTGGACGGATCAGGCTGGTCCCTGAGCATGCTTCACCTGCCTTGCTGCACACATCAGAGAGGCTGAGGGATAGTGTGGCGGGCGAGGGATGCCACGCCTCCAGCAGTGGAGGGTGGACACGGCTAAGGTATAAGCTGTGGATGAATGCCCCTTCACAGGAATAGGAACAGAGCTTGGAAAAGTTACTTCTGTTGGACTACAACTCTAGGATTCTGACAGTAATACAGAAGTAAACCTATTCAGGAAGGAATCTTTTCAAGCTCTGAGGAAATATAAGTGACTCCTTGTGTTAGAGCAGGGCTTGCAGAGGGATGAAACGATGCTGCCTTTCAGAGTTTTGTCTGTCTCTGTTTCTCCCTCACAGTTGCAGAATGCTTGGCTGGAGTTCAAAAACAAAGTTTTCTCTCGAAGTGAGACTGGGAGTTCCTGGGAGTGAGTATTGTACCAGATATGCTGACTTGCAACACATGTAGGGGGTTGTATTTTCAACCTGAATGACATGTTCCTTCTTTGGGACTATAAGAATCATCTGGTCAGCACGCCTAGTGGCTAAGTTGTATGATTCTGAGAGCTGCAGTTGAAAAAAGTAACTTTTGCCATTTCTGGAACATGTATATGGGATCTTTGAAACTTTCAGTAAAAAAAAGAACACTAAGAAGCTGACTACACAGATTCTTTAGCCTGCTGGTGTGCTCTTAAAGGTGGATATCAGACGGACGTCTCTGCTAGAGTGCACCCGTCTACTCCCCACCCCACCCCCCAGAGCATTGCTATCTGAACTTTTCTGGCCCCTGCCTGTCAAGGGACTTCTACTTTACTGGTCCAGGTAGGATCATTCTAGTTTTGATCGGTTCCAGTGCATGCTGGATACGATCCAAAGCAAGCCTTCTTCAAATTTGTCAATGTTGTGAAGTGGCTTAATAAGCAAGCCACTTAAGATTATTGGCCAATTAATTCCTTCCCCTACTCAGCAAAAGACAGAGGAAGAATAAAACATCATGTGTGCTACATCAGTTATTTAAAAAAAGCTTTTAAAAATCATTCCTTTACCTCACCTTAAAGGGCCGATCAAGAAACCACCTGCAGATGGTTCCACAGTGATGGCTTCAGCTGCAAGCGGTTTCTTGACTGGCCTTTTAAGAAAATACAAAGAAAATAATTTTTAAAATAACTGATGTACTGCATCAGTGATAGTCTATATACAGTTGTGTGTGTTTTTTAAATTTTCATTTCCTGTGCCCTCTCCTGAGCAGGGAAGTGATTAATTGGCCAATATCCTGAAGTGGCTCACTTATTAAAGGCAGTTCACTATAATGGCAGGAGCTGTTTCTTTGTGAACAGTCAGGCTTGATTAGATCATTCTAATCAAGCTAGACTGCTCCCAAGTAGTCTATATGAGCTTGCTCCCAGCTATACCATAAGATCAGGAAGCTTATTTAGCAGAATCAAGAATACAGAGACAAGGATTTCTAAAAGGGTAGCATGAATTATTTGTTAGAATTAAAATATAGACAATTAAACTGTTTGTTAACAGTGTTTAAGGGAAGGTAATGTAATCAGTATTCAAATACTGTAGCTGGTAAATATGTATTCTGTTTATGCTGTAAAGCAGTGGTCCCCAACTTCCCAAGTAGTCTATATGGTTGGGGTTGGGGACCCCTGCTGTAAACGACACTTGGTTTACTTTATAGGAGAAAAAGCTACTGTGGCTTGTGTTGTAAAGTTTAACCTGCAGGACCCTTGCACTGCAGAAAGAGCTGCATTGTTAATACCGTTGAAAGTTCTGCAGCCTCGAGGAAAGCATTTTTGCTTGGATTTTCAGAATAAAACTGTCCAACTGTGAAATTGTTGTGTCAGTGACAACAGTTCACATCAGAAAGATGTAAGATTGAAGCCCGGTTGCGGAAGGTGGGGCAGCCCCCGCTCTTGCGCGCATGCATGAAGGGGAGGGCATGTGCGCTCTCGCTTGCATGTGCAGAGGGTGCTCAGGGGCACTCGCGTGCATGCACAAAGGGATGGGGTGCTCGCGTGGGCAGGCGCACATGTGTGCATGCGCAAAGGGTAGGGAGTGCTTGGGGCACTTGTGCACATGCACGAAGGGTGGGGCGCTTGTGTGGCACATGCTTGCATGTGAGATCTTTCTCCACTGTCTGGTCCAGCCCAGGCCACAGACTGCCACTGGGCTGTGGACCGGGGGTTGGGGACCCCTGCTGTAAATGACACTTGGTTTACTTTATAGGAGAAAAAGCTACTGTGGCTTGTGTTGTAAAGTTTAACCTGCAGGACCCTTGCACTGCAGAAAGAGCTGCATTGTTAATACCGTTGAAAGTTCTGCAGCCTTGAGGAAAGCATTTTTGCTTGGATTTTCAGAATAAAACTGTCCAACTGTGAAATTGTTGTGTCAGTGACAACAGTTCACATCAGAAAGATGTAAGATTGAAGTTTAGTTAATTGAGGCTCAAAGTATTATAAGGATTATCGTAAATTTTAAAGATCACGATAACTATGTTTGTTGTTGTATAAATTATTTCAAAGCTGAATTGAGCAACAGCCTTAAGCTTCTTATATTTGGGGAAGTGGGAGTAGCTCAGTGGTAGAACACCTTCTTTCCCCAGACGTGGTTCTAGGTTAATTTTTTTTTTTGTCATCTTCAAATGGGGCTAGAGCCCTGGAGAATCATTGCCGATCAGTGTAGACAGTACTGAACTAGAGGGACTAATAATCTCTTAATATAAGGCGGTTCCCTATCTTGCTTGATCTTTAATTTCCAGAGTCAGGGAGATTGTCTGTGTAGAAGGCTTTGAAAACATGAATTTTCCTGTTCTCATAGTCCAATATATGCTAAACTCTGTACTTGCTTTTGGCAACTATAGCTTGGTTAGGATGCACGTCTATAGAGAGGCGCCTAGGACATGAAAGAAAAAAGAATGAAGGTGCTACGGGATAAGGGAATATCGAATTGTTTGTATTGTAGATGTAACTGTAGAGACAAACGATAAAAACACATGCTCAGAGAAATGCATCTTTTTTGCTCTTAAATATTTTCTCTCCACCATATGGAGTTAGATGCAGAAAGGTAGCCAACTTTTACATTCTGGAGATAATCCCAGTGATACACGTGCTTCTCACTTTAATGCGTTTTCATAATTACATCATTTCACCCCTTGAGAGAACATTCTTTCTAGAAATAGATTTTTCTGAATGTCTGCTTTAGCACTTGAATAGCTCACAAAATTCCAGTCTAGGTCGGGATTGCCTCTTAAAATGAAGGACATTTTACAGGCCTGCCCCTCTCTGTGTTGGTGCAGGGTTCTGCAGGCATTTTGCAACGTCCGGCAGCAGCTGTGCGCTGTGTATCGGCTCCTCTTTCTTGGCTCTTCTGGGGCCCAAGGCTTGCCTCAGAACATGCTGGACCGGGTACAGCAGCTTACACGGTGAGTGAGATAGAGCACAGAGGCCAAACCTGCAGGACAAAGGATGGCAGGTTACAGTGGCTATCTATATATTGGGTATGTGGGTGGACTCTGTGAGGGATCCACTGTTAGTGCCCTGAGACGTAGCTTCCTAGCAGGCAAGGAAGAGGGACAACAGGTGCCAGTGACGGAGCTGGCTGAAGAGGGCCACTTGGGAGTGGGAGGCCGGGAGAAAAGGGAAAGACTCAGAGGGAGCAACAGAGACTTCGGAGGAGGAGGAGGAGATATATGGAGAGGCTCTTGAGGCTTGGGAGGGAGAGAGTGACTGGGGGAGGAGCATGGGTGAAGTCCCCAAGCACCACCCATTGGGTAGGGGAAGGAGCCATGGATGAAGGACCCTAGGATTGAGGCCCCAGGAATCTACTGTACCTCAGATGTGACCTTGGGGCCCACGTCATCCATCAGGAGCAACAACACCCACTCCAACCCAGTTGCAGCATTGGCGACAAAAGTGCCAATGTGAGAGATGGAAGAGGCTCCAGGAGCAGCAGAGGAGCCAGCACCAATATCTGCCACCCAGTTCTTTGACGAGGGCTGAGAATCATCCTTCCCTCCCACTTTCAGAGACTAGGACTCTCGGTACACTCTGTGGACTTAACAGGGGACCTTCTTGAAAGTTCAGTCCTTGGGTTGTTAAGTGCCGGGAACCCAAGGGCAGTGTACCTGTTTCTGTTGGTTCCTCAGTTGCAATAACGTCTGTTCTTGGTCGTTTTCACAACCTGGAACCTATGGAATTATTGCCAGGAGATCTGGCTGCCTCTGGCACCACCAGTCCCATAAGGTGACTTTGGAATTCTCTCCAGCACAGCTGAATTCTCTTCCCATCCCATGTACTTGTGGATTTCAGTGGTCTTATTCTATTCCCCAATTCTCTTCTACATAGGTTATTGATGCTTTATCCATAGAAATAGTAATAGGGGAACCTGTTTTGCTGCCTTTTGTCCAAGGCAGCATTGGAAATTGATCCTTGTTTCTGCAGGTATGAGAATGTTCTTGTACATAAAGCCATTGGTCTTTGAATGTCTTCCTTTCCCAATCCTTTGTTTGGCAGGGAAAAGCTTCACGACTGGAGGGACTTCCTTCTGGTGAAGAGCAAGCGTAATATCACCATGGTATCATATCCTTTCCTAGTTGCCAATTCCACCCTCCCTTCCCACATTGGTTGGTGATGCTGGAGGTGTTCCAGCAGAAACTCAAAGACTCTAGAGATATTATTATGAAATGCTAGGGGGTGTCTATCTTTTTGCTGCAACTGAAGGATCCTGGGAGGAAAGTATGCACTTCTTCTTGATGCAGCAGCCTTTGTGATGCTCAGCTTCTCAAGAAGCTCACAACTAAGGTGACTATAGCTCTTGTCTCTTCTTTAGTAGATAATGTAGGTCTGGAACAAGTGAGCACTGAGCTTGCTTCCAATTCCTGCTCTCCTTGGGTATCAGAAGCCAAGACTATTGAAGTCAACAGGCTGCAGAAGAGTTCCCAAGGTGAAGCCAGAGACGGGCAGGAAAATACCATTGTCCCTGAATGTTGAAGATGTTGAATGGCCAGGGGAAGATTCCAGTGCCTGCTTGAATTGATGTTGGGAACCATGGTGGGGGAGCTCTTGATTCTCAATGTTGGCTTCAAAAGTTTCTGTGGTGAGTAAGCACAGGGCTACCAAGCTATGCAGAACTACCCAGATACAAAGTGAGAGGAAGTGTTTTCTTATCTCCTTAACTTGTTTCCATCTACATATCTTGAGGACTTCCCAGGGCTTGTACACTTTATCTATGTGGACCGTACAGCAGGACAGATGGTGGCACCATCCCTTGGTGTGACAGAAGACTCCACTTCTGAGCTTGGCAAGGGTCCTTTGCTTGCTTTCATTAAGGGGAAGGTAATACTCTTGTTCTGTCCTGCTTTGGGGATAGGAAGTGACTTTTAGGGATATGTGCGTGTGTGGAATGAGATGATAAATCTGCTTTAAGCATCTGTGTCTCAGTGAGAGAGCATGTGGGGATGGGGATGGCTTTAACACATTCTTCCTCTGGCTTTCCAGGTATGGTCTCTGTTAGCACTGGCACGAAGCTACTTGCAGAAGGGCTATACCACTCTGACAGTCCGGGATGGAGACTACTTCTGCACTTACTTCCTATGGTTTGAGAATGAGCTGGTACGTGGTGCAGTTTGGAGCTGAGAGAGAAGGGCCAACTGTGGGATGGGTGGTTTCTCAAAAAGTCAAGATAAGGTAGTTTAGGAGCAGACAGCCTACAGGAGATACTTCATGAGCTGGAACCTGGTGCAAAAGACAAGACCCTTATTTAGTTAGTTAGCTAGTGTATTTATATACTGCTGACTTAGTGCAGAACACTATTCTGAGCAGTTTACAACAATACAATACAACAGTAAACCCAATCACCCAACAAACCAATGGAATAAAAGACAAGACAACAATAAACCCAATCACCCAACAAACCAATGGAAGACATCCCTAAGTGAACACATAGAGGAAAAATCCAACACTCCAAATGATGACAGTGTTAAGGAATTCTTAGGCTCAAGGAATTCTGTGCCCAGAAACCATTTTTTCATTTGTAGATAAAAGCTCACAGCTTCTGTACAAAAGTTCACTCCTGTCATTCAACCCAGCATAATGAATCCTTGCTGATATACTGTCTGTCATTCAGAAATTTACCAGTAGGTCATATCTGTTTTCTACCCACCTCTGGCTCTGGATATACAAATTATGAGTTCAAATTACCATTTGGCCATAATTGCTGAGCTGACTTTGGCCAAGTCACTATCTTACTACTTACCCAGTTTCACAACAGGTTGTTAATGAGGCCAAAGTGCCACTTGAAGGAAGAGAGACAAGATATGAATGTAGCACATAAACAGTGATAGGGGCTGATGACCTTCTAAAGCTGTGAGCAACCTAAGGACACACGCACTCATAGTGGACCCTTTAGTGGTCTCATTCTGTCCCCAGTCATCCTGTTCCTGTCATCTCTTTACTGTTGCCGTGTATCTGCAGGGTTACAAGCTAGAAGTTACAGAGATCCCTGTGCTTTCCGATGATTCAGGCCCCATTGGGACATTGGCAGGCGACTACTACAGGTGAGCAAGGGTTCCAGCTCCATAGGTGATCAGTGGATGGGGAAGGGGTTTGTGGGGGAAAGCCTGTAGTCAAAAGACCCTTGGCAGCTGGAAGAGAGAAACACTTTGCACTGCTTGCTCAACTCAGCTAGTACCTTGTGCCTTTTCCTCCTGGCCTGAGTGTTGCTCCCAGCTCTGTAGGGTGTTGTCGCCAACCTCATGAGAGATCTTGCAATTATGTTTGTCCAGCGTTCAGTGGCACTGTAGCTGCCTAAACTCTGTAATTCTAGCCTCTGGCTTGTTAAGGAATTATCACAATAATGTGGGAAGGAACACCATGAGCCTTGAACCACCTGAAGTGTGTTTTCCTCCTAGCATTCAGGAAGTCACTCAGAACACACTTGTTCAGAGAAGCTTTTCCAGATACCTTCCCTGCATGATTACATTACAAAAGTATACTATTACGTTGTATATTTTAAAGTTGTCTTTGTTTGCTGTCGCCGCTGGGGGGTGTTTTGGGTTATTTTCATTTGACAATAGCTGTTGAGTTATTGGGGGGGGGAGTTGGGTGGTTTTATGCTTTTATCTTTGTAAGACACCCAGGCTGGTGGCATGCCACTCGATGCATGGGGTAATTGTTGTACCCCTGTTGTGAGCCACCTAGGCACTCGATGCATGGGGTAAAAATCTAATAAAATAAAATAGATTTCTGCAGTTCTAGCTGTAGATGAGAGGGGCATCACTTATGGTTTCTCCTGGCTTCTTATCCCAATCCTGCCCTCTTCCCACATGCTCTTTACCTGTTTTCTTACCACCATCTCTTCCATGCAGGAAACTTCTTCGTTACTACAGTAAGAATCATACAAATGAAGTGGTGAAGTGCTATGAACTGCTGACCATCCACCTGGGCATCATGCCGACAGAGTATGTGATCCAGCAGGCCTGTGATTTGGCCCGCCAACTCTGGGAGCCAACCCGCATCCCCTTGCTATAGAGGTAGCCTCAGCATCATTGGGGTGTTCATTTCCTATTCTCTGGATTATATGAAGACTGGGGGTCTGTACTGTCTTTATGTCCTTTCGAATCGGGCCATGATGGGCGTTGCATTTACCCTGCTTGCCCTGTCATTTTGCTGAGTTTGCCTCACAGCCGACTTCTTCCTCTTACTGGTCAGGATCCAGTGCCCTTGCCCCAAAGTTTAACATAGGGCACTGAAGCTGATGGGACCATTTGTTTTCAAGGAATGCATGGCATTGGCACACTCAATATGAGTTTGCCATGAGAGCTCTACCTTCTCCTTAGGCACACATCCATGCAGGCTTCCCTTCCTATGTGAGAAATGTTCTTATGCTAGAACTATGCCATAATAAACCTTGTGCTTTCCACCACTCAAATGCATATCAACTGCTTGTTTGGAGTAACAGGCCACTGGAAAACAGCTTCGGAATCTACCTGATATGCACAGATATAAGCATAGTTGGAAACGCCATACACACGTACCATGCAGTGACTTATTGCATGGTTAAGTCAATCTCAGGTTGTAAGACTTTGAAATAGACTTGTAAGCTATTTTTATAAAATGGTAACAAGAACCTTTGAGGTGGATTTTTTTCCAAAAACAACAGCAAACTGAAACAAGCTAAATGTATTGTGAAGTAACTTTAATAAATATTACACTGAAATAAATCATAATGCTAATTCATTGCAAAAATCCATTTTTAACTATGTATGTGGAAAAGTGTGATTTCTTGTAAAAGGTTTCAGAAAGTTACGCATACCTTATATAATATATATGTACCAAAGGTTTTAGCAAAGTCTCCCTGGTTCCTGGATGGTGATCAAGATCCCTACATGGCTTCAGAAAAAGAAGGGAGGGAAAGGATGGAGTTGAATACACCTTTCCAGGCACAGTTGTGATTAGGAAGCAGAAAGACTTGGCATACTAGAAAGAAATGCTATTAAAGTCTCCTCTTCCCTGATATTGGGACAAGATAATATGAACATACAGATATATGCAGTTTCTTACCTCTACAGTAACAACTTTGGGGCGAGGGAGGGGGGAAATGCTGTGAGATAATGCAGCCCTGGAAAATATGGTTTTAATAGCAGGACAGACAGTGCAAATAATGGAACAATGATGCAGTATAGCAGAGTGATTAAATGGCAAAGGCAGAGGCCAAGGTTTTTCCACTACCTTCAGCTAGAGAACTTGAAATAAACAGCATACAAGGATCCAAGTTTACTTGCAAATATGTTTGTAACTTAAAGTGCACAAAGATATCTAACTATGATAGTTTTATAGATTAATAATGGTATAAAGACCAACTCTATTGAAATTTCCTTTTTGAGACATAATAGAAATCTTGCTTAGGAACACCTAATGGCAGGAAATTTTGGGGAAATAATTAAGGATATTCGCGAAGGCTTTCACAGCCAGGATCTAATGGTTGTTGTGGGTTTTTCGGGCTCTTTGGCCGTGTTCTGAAGGTTGTTCTTCCTAACGTTTCGCCAATCTCTGTGGCCGGCATCTTGCTGTCCTCTGAAGATGCCGGCCACAGAGAATGGTGAAACGTTAGGAAGAACAACCTTCAAAACACGGCCAAAGAGCCCGAAAAATCCACAACAACCAATTAAGGATATTGCTGGACAGAATATACTATTAAACCTACCAAGAATTTTGCAAAGCTCTATAAAAGACATTGTGAATATAAGACACAGACATGTATCCTTGTCATAATATGACTGCAACAGTAAACAGAAAGGGAAGCAGCAAATATTTCAGAAGATGATGATTTGCACAGTAGGTTAATGCTTGCCTTTCAGACTGACATGTCTCCCAGACGTGGTAGGATAAAATGGGGAAGAGCAAACAGGTGCCCTGTCCTCAGCTTCTCTGAAGAAAGGCATGCTGAAAATGTAATAAGCAAACAAAGGAGGAAAGATCTGTGATCTGGTGCTGATGGGAACTATAGTCCCAACCACTGCATGTCATCTGGCTGGGGAGGCTGCTTTACTGGTACCATGCATTAGATTGATGTAATGTCCAATACATGAGATGCTGTGCCATTTATTATGCTATGAATTTGGGAGGGTGTGTGTGCCTCTCTCTGTCTGCTGCGTAATCATCAACATATTTATGCATAAGTAATTCCTACTGAGTTTAATGGGGTTGCCTCCTTAATAATCGCACTTCAGAGTACAGTTTTCATTTGTATGCCCATTACAGAGCATTTCTCCTGTGTGTTTTGTACGGTGTCTATCTTTTGTTCATTTCAGTTATCATCATTAAAAATTCATGTTAAACATAAAAATTGATAGTGTACATGATTTAGAGCATCTAATAAAACCTATTCACAGAAGCTCTACTAAGCATAGAATCCAAATTAAAAGGGATAAGGATTTTTGTATTTCAGTCAAATATTCAATTTTCTCCTTATTCAATGCATAGATTGAAACAGAACATAATTCATTTTGGCTTTGCATGAAAGCAGTATTGGCAGTGCTTTTCAACTAAACAGCCCCAGCAATTGGCTACACATATGTCTGTATGTAGTGTTTGAATGTAGTTCAGAAGCCAGAAGAAGAAAGCAGGCACTTAAACAAAACCCCAGAATGGATTGCAGAATAGAATTCAATTCATTTTAACCTGTTTCTTTTTGTTTCTTTAGCTTCTGCTCTGGTTCATGTTCTGGTCATATCCAGCCTTGATGTCTATAATCTGTCCATCTTGGATCAGTTGTTTTGCAACTACTCTGGCTATACAAAAACAAATCTCTCTCTCTCTCACACACACACAGAGAGTGTTCTGGTCATATCCAGCCTTGATTTCTATAATCTGTCCATCTTGGATCAGCTGTTTTGCAACTACTCTGGCTAAACAAAAACAAATCTCTCTCTCTCACACACACACACACACAGAGAGAGGGGGGGCTTTATTTTGGCTAAGAAAATACCTTTGCTCTCTCTAGGGGAGGTAGGGGGCAATTTCCCTATGTTTTGAAGTTGCCCCTGGGGCCCTGCTGTCCTTTTACAAAATCATATTGTTGGTCACTAGAAGGCACACTACCTTTAAAAAGCCTTACTTTAAATAACTTAAACCAGAAGTATGTATATCAGCATTTTTGACTACAATTCATAGAACTCCCTAGGCAGCACTGCTGTGCTAGTTTTATTAACAAAACCCATTATACAAACTTCAGTGGCATGTAATCACTGGTTCAAAATTAATAAAACATAAAAACATGCAAATTAGCTCATTTAGCTCCATGCTCTTAAGATTGTGACCCTTGGGCTGCCAGCAAATCTGAAAAATTGCCTTTAACATCGCTGAGATAGCCCACCTCTGATCCGGGACAAGTATTTTTCATGTTATTATTGAAACTCTATTTAAATGTTTTGCGTAATCCAAATAAACAGCAACACTAACTAGCAAGAATATTTGTCAGGTTTGTACGGTCTCGGTTTGGGCTGCATTTTGAGCTGTTATGCCATTAATCTATAAATTTTCTTCCTGTTTGTGAAAGCTGCATGTTTTTATCTCTTTTGATTAATGTCTGCAATTTTATACCAAATAGTGTTGGTCTTATATTGGCTAGCGCCACTTCTTTTTTGCTTTGGATTCAGCTTATTTTTTCTTTCTCCATCAGAGATGGAGGACGACTCCTGTTATCACCATCATTTTCTTAGCTGTGTGAAACTGTGGTCATGGGCTCAGTCCCAAACCTCCACATGGCTGCCAGCCCTGCCCTCCATCTGTTCAGCAGAAGGCAAGAACAGGCGCTTGCATCCGTATGCAGTTCTACATGTGACAGGAGATGTGGTGTAACTGGGTTTCCAATTATATATACAGAACCTGCACGTGTACATCTAGTTTTTTTCCCATCTGTCGAATGTGGGGCTGTCAGGACCAGAATGAGCAGCTATTTTCCTACTCCTGCAGTAGACTCATGAGGATGCAGAGTTTGGAAATTACTTAGTGGGAAGCTGCTCCTAGAATCCCTAGGCCACCAGCAATGCTTGACCTGGGGGTTCTTGGGAGCTGCAGTTTAAAAAAAGTAGCTTTTCCAAGCTCTGTAAAATGGCATACAGAATAGAGGTGGACATACTTTTTTGCAGCATTCTGCTGGCCCTTCTCTTTTCTGTGGTATCCCTGCCTGTGACTCTTTCTGCTGTTTTAAGCTTTCTGCCAGCTTCTCCTTGCTGCCTTCTGGGTATCAGAATGAAGAGCTACCAACATCTCATTTTTCCCTTTCTTCAAATCTCCACACTGCCTTTTGTCTGTATAATGAAATACTGTAACATCTCCAAATGGAATTAAGGATAGGTTTTATCTAAGGCACCAAAATTCCAGACAGCTGTATGCAGTTCATTAGATTAAGCCATTCTTATACACACTTAACTCTTAAGCCATCACCTTTGTCTTTCCTTTCTCTCTGTTTATTACACTCAATATCAACATTTAATCCTTGCTGTAGAATGTTTCTGTGTTGTACTCATTTTGTAAAGTGACCTATATTATTACTAATAAGCATAACATTATTGGGAGAGATGTCCCAAGACAGTAAGTCAGGTTCATTTCTTGCTCAGTTAGCTTGCAGAATATGCTGGTACAATATAGAGCAAAGGGCAGTTGCTTTAAATACAATTAGACAAATTAATTGAGGGAGGACAGGTCTATCATCGTGGGAGCTGTTCGTGTGCGGAGGTGTAACAGAGCCACTAGTAGTGGGAATGACAGTGGAGATCTACTTCTCTCAGCCTTCTGCATGTGGACTTCGCAGAAACATCAGACTGCCTGTGGTGGAAAACAAAAAACTGGACTAATTAAATGGACTTCAGGTCTGATGCAGGAGGACTATTTTCATGTTCCTGTCCATATAGAGAACTGTTGGATTTCTATGTAATCTTTTTTTTTCTAAAGCAAGTTCTTTCTTGACAGCTGTATGACTGTCTAACAGGAAGAACTTTGCTTGGCATTGCTTAGCATGGAGATGATAGCAGGAAAGGAACTATCTTGCAGATTTTCAACCTGACATATAGTTGCTCACTTTTTTTCTGCATCATACATCTCTACAAACAGATTTCAGTGGGATAAAGCATTTGTCAGCACAAAGTGAGGCAACTGAACTGCTAAGGATGGAGCATGTTGAATCATCATCATCATCATCCTAGAACTGCTGAGCTGGAAAGAATCTATGGATCATTGAGTCTAGTCCCTGTCAAGGAGGCACAGTGGGGTACTGAACAACCAGCCTTTGGCTCCACAGCCAGATGCCCAAACCACTGAGCTATCCAGCAGTTCTTAGAGATGGCCTATTATTTATTAAACATTCTAAGACACAGACGGGCCTCCCATTGCTGCTGTCTTGTAGCTCAGCGGTCACGGAATGTATAAATTGGGGAGAGGGACAATAAAGCAGGAACAAAAGGCTGGTGGAGTGGAGTATTCTGGAAGAAGGTATGACTAGCTAGTTAGATTTTTTAATAGATTCAGCCTCTCCACACGGCAACATTTCATTGCAGTTCCCACTTCAGAAACAGTCTAATAATTTTCCATATCCAAGATTAGTCTTTATGCTGAAAAGACTGGAGCAGGGTAATGATATGTCGAACTGAATTCTAAATTTCTTCATCTGGCAGACTGCCTTTTTTTATCCACACAGAGAGAAGCACGTGGGTTCATTCTC